CTCTCTCTCTCTATCTCTCTCTCTCTCTCTCTCCCCTTCACTATTATACCATTCATGTGTACTCTCCCGTACTTTGGCCACGACAGCATGTTACATAGATCGGTTGACAGACATGAATTTCCAAGTTTAGAGTTTTGACGGTTTTGGTATATACGTATATCTCCCTTGTACAGGCACACTTGTTCTCCCTAAGACGGTTAAATTATTGTACTTTAGACATCGTAAGATCCTGTCACTGTCAGTCGAATTTTTTTTTTTCGTTTGAGCGCGTAGACAGCTGCTTGCGGTGTTGGCCTCCCGGAAAGCCGATATCTTGTCAGGGTGACCTAGAGACAGTTGAGGGTTATATATACCGTACATCGCATAGCGAGGGGAGAACAAAAGACCATTAATGCTTTCTATCTATCTATCTATCTATCTATCTATCTATCTATCTATCTATCTATCTATCTATCTATCTATGTTTTTAAAGGAATATTGGTAAAATTGTTAATGTTCATGTACACTAGGTGGTTTGCGCTAATTTTGAGGCGCTGATTACAAATATGACATTAGGATTTTAATCCGAACTCAAAATTAGACTTTTCGTTACCTGATTTCTTAGAAAATAAACAGTGCTCCATTTCAACAACTGACTTTCTGAGACTGGCGGAGCGGGGCGGGGCGTACGGAATCGGGTCGGTTGGTGTCCGTCGCAGTGGACACGGGGCCTTAGTCTTTCTCTCGTTATGTCCGAACACCTAGTGTAAAATGTTTCTCTGTTGCTTTCTTTCTTGCTTTTGTTTTTGTTTTTGTTTTTTGTTTGTTTTGTTTTTGTAGATGGCGAGGCAGGCGAGTGAGTAAAGTGCAATAACATCGCGATCTCAGAGCTTTTCTTGGCGTATCTCCATTTTGTAACTGTTAAAATGTGACATCTTCTTAAGCCCACTCTTTGTTATAACTGTTTTCACAGTTATTAAAAATGGAGATAGGACAAGAAAGCACTGGGATGGAGAAATGTTGCACTGCTGCATCTTGATTTTATTTTAGAGTAAAGACGAGCAAATGAGCCATTGGAATCTACCAAGTGTTTGAGAGGCTGAGAAAATAAAATTTGCGGTATTCGTGTTAGCGTTGTATCAAGGTAATGTTAGCAGTGTGGGGGGCGGAACAGGTGATTGACTTGGCTAGCCTTAACCCTAACCGTACGTCGTGTTTTACTATCGTATCCATACGACGTGGGGAACTCTGTGCCACCACTTTCCAAAGACGAAATTTACTTGTTAATCCGACCCGTACGCTTTGCATAGCAGTCTGTCAAAATGATTTTTTGAGAAATACTGAAAGTTTCAAAGAGATCTTCGTACTAGAAGTATTCTAAAATGTGAAGAATACAACCCCGGGGGTACAAAATGAAAATGACCCCTGGGTGTACGGGAAGGGTTAACATGGGACAAATCGCTCTGGTGGTGGGAAGAGTGACAGCGGATGCAATGGAGGCAAGTGTGGTGCGTCGTGGCAAAATCACGTGCTCGTCTTCAAAATAATGAAATGAAAGAAGCCATTTTTCCGCCTGTTTGGAAATTTCAGTTATTTATTTTTTTACTTGGCTTAACCCTTATTGTCCGCTTAAAGCACGTATGGTATTTTGTAAATTTTTTTATTTTT